ATATAGTAATATCCAGGCAACTCCCATCCCAACATGAGTATCAGGAAGAAGTCACCTGAGTTTAGTCTGTGCTGACGTACTCGAAAACAGGTCTATCAGGCTAAAGGATCTGGATCAGGGTCTGTAATGTTTACAACCCTACAGAGGAGCCCTGCAGGCAGCTGCTCTATGAGATCTGAAGAGGGGGAAAGTGAAGCGATGAAGGCTGTAACACAATGAGCCCGCGGCTGCATGATTCTGTTGGATGTCTGAAAGTAGACTATATGAAAAGTAAACAGACAGTTGAGGATAAGAATGCAAATATTTCTGTAGACTAAATGGATTTATCTCATTAAAACGTGGGCTCAGTCCTGTGTCTGAGCCCTGCAGGCTGCTCATTTAACGTCATAGCTGTGAGACCTCATGTAGACAGGCAGTTTGCCATTAATGGAGTCCAGTAAAGTTGGAGAAACATCTCAAAGATGATTGGGTGAAATGGGAAAATGTTTTAAGTGTCATAGTGACATGTCTCATTACTTATGACGTGAATTATTTTAATAATTTTACAACAATCTTTAAAAACCTGTTTTCATTTTGTCCTTATTGGGTTATAAGTGTATGACTATGAGTATGAGTCTAGGTTGATCAGGGAAATTCTATTATTTTAGAGTTCAGCATCAGACTGAGTACATTCAGATTGAAACATAAAAGCCTGGCCTCTCAGTTTGGCCTTTATTCCATTTGTTAAGTAATAGAGCTCCACTGATTTATCAGTCGGCTGATGTCATTGGCTGATATGAGACTTTCACAGACATGTTGGTATCAGTGTCACTGTTTGCAGATATGAAAGCTTTTATTTTACAGAATAAACAATTCAGATAAGATATAGAAGTGTTATGTATTTGTTTTATGTTTTTTTATTCAGTTGATTATTTAGTTTATGTTTTTGGTCAAACTGCAAAATATTAAGCCTCAATTACAAGCGTTTGAAAATTACATTTTAGGAATCAATGACATTTTTCATCAGTATGGGAACATTTTTTTGGCCCCCTCAAAAATCGATATTGGTCAGCTGTACTTTGTAATTATGTACTGAATATAGTTATATTTACTGTTTTCACTTGCATTTCTCCTCCACGGAATTATCATCTCATCTCCATGTTCTACTTTAGCCCCCGTCACCTGAACAGAGGGTGGAATGAGGATGTTTGCTGTTGACTGAAATCCACCCAGAGAAACAAAATGAAGCAGAAGCTGCTTCGTGGTTTCCTTTCGGAAATTTCTATCCGAATAGCGTTGTTAGTGGTGTTCCTGTAAGTATGTCCTTATTGGAAACACTTCATCTATGCATTTATCTGTAACATTGTTTAATAATCTGTTTTCTAAATTTAAAATATCATGTTGCTGTTAGTGTGACGGAGCAGCTTCCTCCTTTCTTCCGTGAGATCCAGCCTGAGGAGATGTGGTTGTATAAATTCCATCGTGTGGAGAATGACCACGTTCCCACCTCACTCATGTTTGTAAGTAATATATTTACTTGTTTGTGAGTGAAACTTGCACTATGTAAATCCTACAGTTTAGTTTTATGTAGTCTCTAACATTATCCAAAGCACATCATCAGGTTTCATGATTCATTTCTCACAGCTCTTGGTTTCATTATAGTTTTAAAATGAGGCAGGGAGATGAAGGTTGAAATTAGTTGATTTAACTCAGTCATTCACATATGTGTAATTTACCAAAAGTTTAGCTGAGATTAAAGTGGAAATAAATGTTGAAGCTATTGCTGTCACGTCTTTGTTTGATTCATGACAACACTACCCCATCACAATTCATACTCAGTGATTGTATACACATGTGAGTGTAGTGACTGAAGTTTCTGTTGGTCGTCAAGATGCATTCATTTTTTTTTAAAATATGACAGAGGAATGTACTGAAGTGAAAAGACAGTACCTCTGGCTCTGCCGTTTACTGTCCAGGAAGAGGTTGATCATTTTATAGGATTGCAATGCTGCATCAATGGAGGAACCTTTTGTTTTTTTAAATTTTTTTTTTGTTACAAAGATTAACGGTTTCTATTTTTCGTCTGAATCAGAGTGTGGCAGTTTTCACCCCACTGATTGTCATCGTGGTTTTCACCTTCATGAGGAAGTCGGAGCGAGGAGATCTGAAAGAAGCCTCGCTGGGTACGAAACCGACAGCTGCTAATGAGTTTCTAGTTTTCCTATTAAAATATGTCAAATGTTTTTTTGAGTTGCCGTGTCTTTGTTTTTAATGATTCAGTTCTGTCTCTCCCTGTCATCCAGCTGTGACTCTGACTCTGGTGCTGAATGGAGTTTTCACCAACGTCATCAAACTTGTTGTTGGCAGGTAAACATCACTCAACGTAGCAGGGCAAACATTTTACTCATGTTTGAGTGGATTAAAGCCTTTGTGCTCCCTCTGTCTATTTCCTTCAGGCCACGACCAGATTTCTTCTACCGCTGTTTCCCAGATGGTCAGATGAACCTGGAGCTGCACTGCACCGGTGACCCAGATACCGTCATAGAGGGCAGGAAGAGCTTTCCCAGCGGGCATTCCTCCTGTAAGAGAGGCTCCAATGTGCAATTATGTCTCTATAGCTGGTGCATTATCATCTGCAGGCAGCAAGGAAAGCAAGTGAATGTAAAAGCAGGGCAGGGAGATAATCATATGTTACAAATGTGTGTATATGAATGTATTTTGGCCTCTAGGCTTTTATTTTGCTGTATGAGAAAGCAAGTCTCTCCATCTCTAATCCCTGTCCCATCTCTTCTTCTTTTTGTTCTCTTCATCCACCCTTGTGCTCTTTTCTCTCTGCTCTCAGTTGCCTTCGCAGGTTTGGGTTTCACAGCATTGTACATCGCAGGAAAGCTGCGCTGCTTCAACGCAGTGGGCCAAGGCAGAGCGTGGCGGCTGTGTGCCTTCCTCATGCCTTTGCTCATTGCGACTGTGATCGCCCTTTCCAGAACCTGCGACTACAAACACCACTGGCAAGGTCAGAGTCACAGTGCATGTTTACATATGCATTATATTTGTGACCAACAGTAGTAGCTGGTTTAGAGGGTTTTCAGTGAAAGGGATTTAACACAACTGATTAGTAGTAGTCTGTTAATCAGACTGGATTTCAATTTGTTTTAGCTTCGGTCTGTATTTCACCCAGACTGTTTATATAGAGAGGGACGACTTGACAGGCTCCCAAAAGTGAAGCCAAAACGTTTTGATGGCCTCCTGGTAGCTGAATGCACGTCACTGTAGATCATAAACCCAGTCAAGACTTTAGGGGTTTATGCCTGATGATTTACAGTTGTAATGGGCTATTCCACGCTGCTACTTTCTGTAACTTCTATAACTTCTCCAACATTGAATTTGCTGTGCAATTCCAAACCCACTAACTCACCCCAACCAATCAGTTAAGGATGTGTCTGTCACACGTTCACAACCAGTTCAGATTAAACAACGGCCACTTCTGAACGATGACACTGTGGAATCAAACTCCTCATAATCGTGGCTCTTCTCTTCTCTCTCCTTCATGCAGATGTGTTAGTGGGTTCTCTGCTTGGTCTCGTCTTCGCCTGGCTGTGTTACAGACAGCACTACCCTCCACTTCAGGACCCAGACTGCCACAGACCACTGCGTCACAGAGAGATGGTTCCCGCTGCACAGGAGCGCAAGCTGGCCAACTCCAACTATATCCTGCCCCTGTAGAGCAGCTGTACCTGGAGAATTCTCTTTGCAGGTGTAATCTATACTGGGGTACATGGTAAATCATTCAACTCTGGTTTTTACACCCTGGAGGCCAGGCAGTAAATCAGTATTTATTGTTAGTTGTCGATCATTGTAAATATATGGTGGCAATTTTCTTTTTGTGAGGTGACATATGGTTGGTACGTTTTCCAAACTGAATTTACAAACTAATTTCTCTCTAGTTGTTTCTGAGACACATGAGTTGCGGAAAATAGCGACTAATTTTTAACAGTCGCGTGTGATGGACGTGAACTACACAGGCAGCCTGGAGTGTGTGTTTCCAAACCCTATAATGATGTCAATACCTTCTGGATGTTTTGGTACAGGAGGTCTTCTGGTTGTCATGACATTGTTTTCCATATGGCTCAGCCCCACACACACACACCCTGTGTATTGTGCCTATGGATGACCTTAAATACTCCCAACAGTTGAGCAAGTCAACGACACAACCACTGCACTAATCGTCCACTGCCCATCAGACTCTGGCTCAGCTGCTGTGACACAGTCTCTCATGTAGGGTCACTATTTTGAGATTTTTTTGTAAACTTGCAACTTTCTAATCAAGCAGGGTTGAGGTTAAAGGGAAACGCCTGTATATATACGTATATATCTGGTAGTTTGATTTCTCTGCATGGATGTTCATTCTTTACCTTGCATCTATATATGATGAGTGTAATGCAAGTTCAAATATCATGTTTTCAACAGCGGCTCCTGGTGTCGAAGCTGGCTCAGGTGTCATTACGTGACCTAAATGTGAAACGGCTCCGCAAGACACTGAGTGCAAGAGTCGAGACTCTTGAGCAGAGGATATAATTTCTCTCTAGACACCAGAGCAGCCACAGCATTGATTGACATTGACCACGAGTCAGCGTATGGCAGGAGAAAAGTGAAGGAGGTCATATGAGACCAAAACTAAAAAGTTTCTCAGCCCTCATCGAGAGTCAGGCTTGAAAATCAAAAGCCTTGCTCGAGGGCACCTCTGTGATAGTAATGAGGCAGAGATAGGCACACACTCATTCATCCTGCCTGTTCAGGAATCTAACCTGTAGCTACCCAGTCACAAGTCCACCTCTCATACCTGTAGAGATGGATAGCAACCAACCGTCATGACGTGACCAAACCTTCACATTTGATGTCACATGACGACACGACAAAAGAGAGTGAGATGTGACGAGAAGCTGCAAAATTACTGGACCTAATTTGAACAGGGGAAGCACAAATGTTGATGTTGGATGTTCGTATCTGAGAGGGGTGGGTGACATGGATAAAAATGAGTCATGGTATATGTGACTGTATATCTTGATATATTGCAGTGATATTTTATTTTCTGAAAGATTATGACAGGAATGTTTTTGTTGAGTTAAACACTGCAATATAGTGATTTATGGCAATGTCAATAATTGACTCACACAAGCGGAACTATGAAGGAAGAAAGATTACAGTATTCTATGTTTTTCTTATTGTCAACAAATTCCCTTGATTAGACCCAAACCAACAATGTGTATCTGTCTCAAAATACTTTCACTCCTACTGACACTGTAAAGGCTGCAGTTAGAAACAATCATGAAATTAAAGAATAACATTTTTAAATAAGCTAAATAATTTTAGAATGAGCCAAATCATGTCAAGTATTTTGAAGAATAATGCCACAGAAGAATCAACTACGATGACAGATTCTGTATTTTATGAGCTTTGTTGACAATAAGAAAATGTAGCGTATGCTCAAATCTCTGTGGAAACCTTTTTTTTTTTTAAATGTATCACAAGATATATTGTCTCGTCACCCACCCTTATCTGACAGTAATTACATCCGTTGTATTTAAAGGCAAAAAATAACTTCCCTGCACCTTTGGTCTCTGCAGTTACTTTCTACTGCCTCGTTCTCCGTGCCGTAAATCTCTCTGTCTTCCTTTGATACATTTGAATGTTTCCACTCACAGATGTTTAGATTCACATCTGGATAAGGCTTGAGTAAAACCTCCCAGTGTAGCAGATCCACTCAACTCTTGGTATTTTAACTATTGTATGACACATTATCATTTCCTTGTTCTAACTGCACATCACATCTGCTGATATCGACGTTCACATGACCCTAAAACACCTGTAACACAAATGTGTTCCTGCATCAGTGGATCTCAGGGTGACTGTAGGTCTTCTGTTTGTCACTGCACACTCCTCTGGCTCCTCTGCCAGCAGATCTAATGTGAGGAAGAGAGATGAAGGTGCACAGGGGTTGGGTTTGTTGTTATCACAGGGGAACCTGATCCTTGCTATGAACCTGAGTGGGGTCGGACTCTAACCTCTCCAGGTGATGGTGCTAGCTTCCCAGTTCTCTTGCCGGCCAGGTTTTCTATCCCATCAATAGCTTTGCTAGCACATGGAGATTTTTTTTTATTTTCCTCTGGCCGTTTTCATCAACTTTCATTCCAGTCATTAGAGTAATTTATATTTCGATTTTTACTTAATTATGGGAAATTGTTGATTTACGTAGAGACGACGCACATTTTTACTATGTTGGTTTTATGCAGATTGAATCATGAGAGACGACCAAACCTCTGTGTTTTTTGTTTGTGTGTGATAACAGCCAAAGTGTTGCAGGGTCAAAGCATTTTTCACTATTGCTGTGAATCAGGCTTGGATCCCAGTGGTTTCAGACCAAACTCGGCAGAAAACAAATCATGAATTTGTGCCTTTGTTTACTACATGGCTTTATGACTCTCTGTCCATGAATGAGCTGTAGACTGCATGTATTAGTGTCTGATCTCTGTTATTTAAAGTTTGCTTTAAATCTTTACGTTTTATTGTTTACCAGTGTTTAGGATTCACTTGTGAAGATAACACATGATGTTTTAATGTGGCTTGCTGCCTCCCTTTACCTCAGAAAAAAACTCATAATTTATTTCCAGAAATTCAACTGTTATTGTAAAGATACCTGTGTGAGAAGTGAACAATTTACAACTGACGGAGGAGAATGAAAAACCTCGCTTTTAACAGAGAGAAATGATATCTTACTTTGCTGGGTCTTTCTTACAGCTATTCATGAGATGATGTACAGGTCTATTTGTATTTTATTTTGGGGGCATGTGGGAGTTTACTTGAAATTTCAATATCCGTTTCTGTACCTTAAATGTGAAAATGTAAGTAGGAACCATATTTGTTGTGGGCACACGAAGTTCTGGAGGACCTTTCAGATAAAAAAAAAAAACAAAGGAAATTGCATTTTCCTGCATGTTTCACAGACACATATAAACATTTCCTCGTCATTTCCTTTTAAATCTCTACAAGTCCATTAATTTATGTGATTATCAGTACATATACACTGTCAGTTTGTGGTCTCCAGATCTACTGTCATGATGAGGGATTATTTGAAAACCTGCCAGTTTGCATCATTGCTGTCACGCCCATCATAATTTGCCTTGGCTTCTAGGACCATTTTGATCCTGATTGTACATGTGATGCTTTAAATGGATCTTTTAATGGCACAAAATGATGTTTCTAAATTACCCTGCACCACAAAATGTCCTCTGGTTCTTTTACATTAATGGCGGGCACCCGTTTATAGAATAATAATTTTAGAGGATACATTAAAAAGTGATCAATAAATGATACATTAACAAAAATGTTTATTAAGGTCTGAGTTTGGTTTGCAGCATAACAATTGCGCTTCTTTTCCAAATGTATTTTCTATTTCAAAGCTGCGATCTTTACTTTTATGATGTACTTGTTATTGTTTTAGTAACAAGACTGAAATCCTATCATCACTTTACATTTCAAGAAGAGTCAACGTCAAACATGAGATCCAAACACGATCTGGGTTAACAGGAGGTCTTGATGGAATGTTAACTAAGAACTGTTGTAATCAACTTTATCCCTCTTCACATTTTTCAGGGACGTAGTTTATATACTGAATCCTTTTCAATTTACAGTCCAAATTGACTACGATTGTTGAATTTCTCATTAATTAACAAATAACATACTTTTATTATTGATAAACCATTCTTATAATCTTACAGTTCACTTTCTTTACCTAAGAGCTGTGGTATTCAGAAATGTTGACTCAAGAAAGTATCACAATCTAATAATAACAAGTACAACATTTGATTTATTTGAAACTATATGGCCACTTTTCCATGTTGTGAAAAAAAACATTTCCACACACACATAAAACTGCAGTTAATCATAGAAACATTAAAGCTCATTCATGTCTCTGTCATTGATCAGATTAAAACCTTTAACTTTCTGTTTCATTTTAAATCTTCTGTTTCTAATTATCTACATGATCACGTTTAATAATCTCACAACAATCAGTAGAAGGTAAACTCGCGTGGTGACGCGTTGTGGCTGCTTTCTCTTTCCGTAGCGCCACTTTGTTGCAACTCGGCGTGATGACGTCGCGTCAAACATATGACGTGGGGCCCTTTCCTCCACACTGATTGGTCGGATGTGACGCCGCGGATTTGGCGCCACATTTCTGCAGCTGCGCTCCTGACAACAACCCGGAAGCAGCCGCGGATCTTCTCATGACACTTTGTCTGCGTTTCAAAAGCTGCCAACATGTTCGTCACGGACACCAGGAAGGACTTTTATGAAGTCGTTGCGAACCAGGTGAGTTTGTTCCGAGTGTAAAGTTGTGTTTGATAAACCTGAAGTGAGTTTAAACTCAAACCCCGAGCGACTGCTCTTCAGTGTCCTGCTCCTCTCGCTGTTGCGTGAGAGTCCGACATCGTTTTTTAAGCTTTACGAATCTGCCAGGACCATTTTCTGAAGTTATTACATTTATATTCAAGCTTCAAATAAAGAAAAAAGCACAAGGACCAGAGGCAAACACCAGGACTTGTTGTTACACCTGCACCCGAACAATCATCAGTGTACATTTACTTGTGAATGCAATAAGTGGTGTCTGGACCTGGTCTCTCGATGTTTTTAAAAAAGCATGTTCAGAAATCTGTGTGTTTAAAAAGTCATAAGTTTGTCCTGGATCATCCAGTCCAGGTTTGACCAGTCGGATTTTAGTGGATTTTGATCGGGACCTGGTCTGATGTGGTCTGGAGCGGGTGTTTTGTGAAGTGTGCTGCTGTTTCAAATGTATTTTCTATTTTGAAGCTGTGTGATGTAGTCTTAAAGACGAGTCCAGGTTTAACGAGTCTACTATGAGTGGATTTTGATCTGGACCTGGTCTGTGGTTTGAAATCAGTGTGTGTCTGGGATAATGATGGGTCCTGATCTAACACAATATATTATATGCATATTATAGTGTTTCTAGTGGCAAGTTCTTTGTTGTTTTTCCAGCTAGACCTAGTTAGATGTGATATAGATATATTTCAAAACTGTAAAGTCACCATTTCTTAAAAAGGTTTGCACATTTTCAAGTTTCAGAAGGTGTTGTGGTGTCAGTCTAACAGTATGTATTTGATAAGATCACTAAAAACGACCTGTTACTTTGCTTTCAGAGAGTCGCACTCCTGGTGGCATCAGACATCGACGCGCTCTGTGCCTGTAAGATACTACAGGTGAGATAACACGCTGAGCTGTCAACCAAAATGAGCTTCTGTTGTCTGAGTTAAGACATAAAGAGCTGTTTTTGTGTGGACTTACTTTTATCACCAGCAACATCTTGTTCTAGAGCTCAAAGGATCGCACAGTCACTAAAGCGTGTGTATTTAAATGGAGCTCAGCAGTTTTTAACATCTGTTGAAGCATGTTAACATGAGAGCATTGTGATTAAATGATGCTTTACACCTATGATCAGCACATTCTACTGGGACGATATAAAACATGCTAAATCAGCTTTTGTAAATGATCTCAAAGATCAAATTAATGGATGATGATAAAATGTTTATAATGACATTGATTTGTCTGTATTGTTTATTAGATGCTTCTTTTTCTGTCACTCAGTGGCTTAAGATCCAATGTTCTTGTGTCCAAATTTGTCAGTGAGGGGATAATGATTAATTAGTAAATTAAGAAATGATCTGTCCGTCTCTTTACCAGGCGCTGTTCCACTGTGACCAGGTCCAGTACACACTTGTGCCTGTTACAGGCTGGCAGGACCTCGGCACTGCCTTCCTTGAACACAAAGAGCAGGTGTGTTCAGATCACCTCTCAGCGTTCACATGAATATATGACAGAAGTGTTAATACACTTCCACACTGCCTCACTGAGCTAAATGTCTTATTTTTTAACTGTGTCGTGTTCTAGTTCCAATACTTTGTTCTCATCAACTGTGGAGCAAATGTTGATCTCCTTGAGATGCTGCAGCCGGACGACGACTCCATCTTCTTCATCTGTGACACTCACAGGCCTGTAGATGTGGTCAATGTCTACAATGACTCGCAGGTGACTGATAATGATCTGTTTTGCTCAAATGATTGATAATGAAGGAAAAAAACATACTACATGTAAAAATATTGAATCTGCTGCATCCATTTGATCAGTTTGCGTCTTTGTTAAGTTCTTTCTCCTGCAACACAGAAATATTAGACCACATCAGGAAACTGCTGCTGCTCTTACTCTGCTGGAATTTACCCTCTGATAAACTCCTGTCATCTCCTCCACAGATAAAGCTACTAATCAAACAGGACGATGACCTTGGTGTGCCCTCATATGATGATATTTTCAGAGATGATGAAGAAGAAGGAGGCGACTCTGGAAATGAGAGTGATGAAGGCTCGGAGCCGTCTGGCAAACGGAGGAGATACGATGAAGTGCGTGTTGAACACAATCATCAGTAAACTCGACTGAAATGAATCAGAGCTTTGAGGACTCGACTGTAGTGGTTGTGTCATTAATGTCTGCGATCATGTCGCTGCAGGGCGCGGTGGAGAGGAGGATTGAAAGGCAGCGAGCGAAGAGGGAGTGGGAAGCACGGAGGTGAAGTGTTTTAAAGGAGTTCTGGAGACTTTATTACATTTCAATTCTTAACTAATTTTAATGTTTCACTCAATTCTCAGGAGGGAAATCTTGTTTGACTATGAGCAGTATGAATATCACGGGACCTCTGTGAGTAGTTTTTAAAATGAAGAAAAATCCTTTTGAATACTTGAAATTCATCCAAATTATTTCTACACATTTGAGACGTAACCATACACAGCTGCATGTTGACCTTCACAAACTCTGTTGCTGTTCTTGAACACTTGTGTTTTTTGTCAGGCTGCAATGATGTTTTTTGAGCTTGCGTGGGTGTTGACTAAAGACACCAAGGACATGCTCTGGTAAGATGTCTAATTAAACATTATTTCTTTATTTTTAATGACACAGAGAAGTTGGAAATGCACTGCGAGATGTTCATACTTTGAGATGTTGTTTCTTCTTTTTGCAGGTGGGCCATCATTGGGCTGACAGACCAGTGGGTTCATGATAAAATCACACAGTAAGAATTTCAAAACCTAATTCTCAGAAACGTGAATAGATTTTCTTAGAATTCGATAAGGGGACTTCTGCTGTAGAAGAAGTCATTCATATGTTTTTGGTTTATTGTTTTTTTATGAGATGCATTTGCTTTTTTTTTTTTCAACTGCACTGAATTGATCTTGTCTTATTACTTTTAGTATGAAGTACGTAACAGACATCGCCACGATGCAGCGCCATGTCTCCAGACATAACCACAGAAATGAGGATGAGGAGAACTCGCTGTCCATCGACTGTATGAGGATTTCCTTTGAATATGAGTATCCTTCATTTGATTGATATGCCATCAGTACAACCCATCTTTTTCTCTGCATTGTAATAGCTACAGAAATCCTTTGTGCAAACTTTTGTGTTTTCCTTGACCTGCTGCCTCAGCCTGCGTCTAACCCTCTATCAGCACTGGTCTCTGTATGAGAGCATTTGTAATTCATGTTACACGTCGTGCAGCTTCAAGCTTTGGACGTTAAATGGACAAAAGAAACTCCAGGAGTTCTTGGCTGACATGGGGTAAGTGCCAGGAAATCAGCGCTTTGTGTGAGAGTTCACTTCTTCTACCTGCTAAAACCTGTTGATGTTGCTCGTAACAGGCTACCCCTGAAACAAGTGCGGCAGAAATTCAATTCCATGGACATGACAATCAAAGAGAACCTGAGGGACGTCATTGAGGAGTCTTCTAATAAATATGGGTGTGAATCTAGAAAAGACTTGCAGAAATACATGCTGTGATTCAGTTTCCTTTATTGTCACACAAATGAAGGCCTGAAATGATTCGTCGTTGTTTCCTCCTCTTCTTCAGTATGAAAGATATCCGTATCCAGACGTTTGGTGTCC